CCAACGCTCGTCACCAAATGTAACAACCAGTTAGCCTAAAGACCATTTGTAACTACTGATAGGTCTTTAGCTACTGTTGTTAATATACTATTAAGGGATTAGGGCAGCGCCTGTCACCAGCCAAAGGGTCCTGGAGTCCTTAAGGAACATCCATTCGCCAGTGGCAAAATAAAATAATAAAAGAAAATAATAAAATTACAAAAAAAACATCCCTTAATAGCATATGTCGAGCGGTTCTTGGCAACTAGTTTTAGACTCTTTTAGTCCTAAGGGAATAGAAACGCCGAGGCTTCTCAAATGCTCGGAGTATTTTGCTGGTTTGGGAAGGGAGGAGAAATTAATAATAAGTATTAAAACCTTAACAAATGTATATTAACAATAAATATAAAACTTGACAAATAGTCTTCAGAAAAATGAGTAAAATTCCATTTAGGGAATAAAGTACTATAATTAATAGTAATAAAGATATGCATAAAATATAATTAGGGACGAAAATGTAAAATTGGCATTTATATGTAAATCAATTATTATTAAACAAAATTAAGTTAAAATATTTACCCATAATTCACATCGTACACAAAAAACTTTACACATTACTTTACAATAAAAAAACCAGGGTTTCGCCCGAGGGGCGAAAGTTCTGGACCTTAGTCCGAACCCGACTGAGCCCTTCCCCCAAGTGATCCTTTCTATATAAACCAAAATTTATGTGACTGTTGATTGTATTTTACAATGTCACGTTCAATGTAAATTAATAAGATGAAGGTTTGTTTCATTGTCATAAGTGTCTTTTTAATTATTTAATTTAAACATTAAATACTTGTTTAGAATTTTTGGTAAATTCTTTAGATTTTTCAATTAATAATAATGCCAATTATTACAGTCTTGGATGAATATGTACTAGACGTCCTCCTCTTGTGTTGACGTTTACAACTTTTTTTAATTTTTCTGGATAGTTTTCCAGTTTTTGTATTTTGTGTTACTTTCTGGCTTAGTTTTAGTTTCTACGAATAAGCCACAGTTGTGATTTTTCTGTTCCATTATATTGCAAATAAGATGTTTCTTTGGTATATTGGTATTAGCATATATAATTTTAAGTATCGACATGAACTTGAGCATTATTTCCTTCGATGGGTTGTGTAGGGGATATTGACAGTGGTTCGTCTAGATCAAACATCAATATGTATACTCTGTTTCCTGAGAAGTTAGCAATAGTGTCTATATTGTGTTGTGTAACAAATCTTTTTCTAAGTTTTCCGATGAGTTCTTCTCTCTGTGTATTTTTTCCTTATTAAGTTTATTGATATATGTATTAAGAATGTGATCATGCACTGTAATATTTGAATGAATCTTACTGCTTGTGGTAATTTTTTTATCTGTCTCTTTAGATTTTTTGTTTAACAATTTTATGGGATTGTTGGGAATTCCTTGAATTGGCTTTGTTGGCCGGTTTGGGCATTTCAAAGACCATGCAGAGTGGTCTTCAGCATCGCAGCTTACCCACTTTTGTGGAAGTTGTGTGTTACATTTGCTGAAATGGTGGGGTCCATTACACTTGCTACATTTAATTGAGGTTGTACAGTTTTCTCTTGTGTGTGTAAATTGTTGGCAGCGAGACCACGGCTGAGGGATTGGAGCTGGTGGCAGACTAGGATACACTGGAAAATGTTTGTGTTTATAAAATACACCTTCATTTGTTGCTTTATTTGTTGCTTTAGACGTTATTCTTTTACAATATCTGTGATTTATGTTTCAATTCATAAGGAATGAGCTTAATTCTTCATCTGTTATATCGTGTTCTATAGATCCAATGACCACACTATATGTATTTTTTGATGTACTGCTATTGTATACCGATGTCTGAGTTGAAGGTTTTGTTTCAGAGTAGTTTAAAATATGTTTGGTTTCAATGAGTGTTTTTACGTTGCGTTACCGCACCGTATAAATACGTTCGTGTGCACCGACACTAAGTTGAATATATTTATTGCATATCTGGATTCGCTTACATCACGCTTTTCCGAAGACTCTGTTAGTTTTCCTTAAGCCTGTTACATCCCAAAAACATAAAAAAATATTTTTTTCACTAGAGATTAGAAAATGAAAATAGTGGTAAAATTTTGAATCGACAATTTTGAAGCTGAATACCAAACTGGAGTACGAAAGAGCTTTCTGCACACAATTAGCTCTCCATTAATGATATAGCGTCCAAACATTGTGAATTTTATCCAGACATACAAAGTGGTTTAAAAATTATTTATGGCTCTTCCACCAACGACAGAATTAATCCAAAGAACGTTTAGCCACGCTAAGGCATGTTAAAACATAGCTGCGGTCTATTCGATCAGTGCGAAGTCATGGTAGGGGAAGTAAAAGCGATACTAGCGCAAGCTTCGGATAATTCGAGTACTTTAGGGCGATATTTTGTAATTTTGGCGTATCAAATACACGTATACATTTTACTTTTTACTAAAAAAATAGGTTAAAAATAATAAAATGGGCAACCGGAGTTGCTATGTTGCAAAAAAAACTGTAAATTATATAAATTTTCAATAACAAAATCGAAATTAAATTAAAGAAATAAATGGACAGCTGTATAATATGAAGAAAAAAACCTTTATTTTTGTAATAACAGTATTACTGGAAATATAGAAATATCAGAAAAGGTTTTAAATAAACAATAAATTATTATTTTATGATATTCTTCAACATCCCTTGAATCTTAAATGTTTAGTAAATGATTAGATTTCTGCCTTTGATTATTGTATATGGCTGAAATGCAATCTTGTGACTTATTGATAGGAAACCAGTTTTAATCATTAATTTCTAAGAGTTTTTCGAACTAAAAATAAAGAAAATATAAATTACAGTCGCAAACATACCAATTATTTTTGTTAATACGTTTTACGTTATTATATAATGGTAATGTTTTTATTTTCTCGGAAATACCTGCCTATATTTTATTATTGAATTTTTTTGATAATACTACTTTTTTTAGCTGAAGTAAAAAAAATATATAATATTAATAATTTTTTCACTTGTTTTACAACTCCATATACTTTTATTAAAATTAACATATGTATTTTTTAATTACGAACTCTATTAAAAATTGTACTGTCAGTATACGCAAATATCGTCCGTTAGTTCATAAAATAGTTGGCGCTGCTGTCACGCACGAAGCGAATAGTGAATGAAAATAGGCTGACTGAAAAATAAATTATGTTTTCTGTTATCGATGTTTTTAGTAAAGAAAAAAGAAACTTAAAATTTGCGTTTTCCTAGTGGTTTTTTATGTTCATCAACGTGTTTGAGTGAGTTTTTTTGTTTTTATAAATTTTTATTTTTTATATTATGTATGGCTATGTCTTCTTGTTCATATTTTTCTTTTTGCTTTTTAAAAATGTGTATTAAGTTTCTTGTTTTTTCTTTATTTTAGTTTTTGCCTTTTTTGTTGGGTTATTTTATTTATTAGACACTTGTTATGACAACTTAAGTATCAGTTCTGTCAAATAGGTCAGTGACATTGTGAGGGTTACTACTAAAGTTCCACTCCCCCTTATCTTCGCTATTCAGTGAGATATCGGAATAATTTTGTTCTGTTTGAAAGACTAGAACAAATACTTTCTTATGATGGATTTAATTGTTCTGTGACGTCATAGCTTACTTCCGGTTTTTCCAGAAATAACAGAAAATCAATTTTTTTTTAATAAAAGGACACCCTCCCTTTTATTTTAAATTTAAATTTCTGGGATATTTTTGTATAATAATCGTGTATTGGCAATTTTCTGTCAGATGTCGAAATGGCCGCCATATTGGATAATATTTTTTCTAAATATGTTACTATTAATTCGTTTATGGAAGAACATATAGGAATATACGAACTTTATAAAATCTTTTTAGGCTTCAAAATTCCCATTGAGACCTATTTACCGTATACCAGTGGCGTATCTAAGCATTTTTATTATTACCAAACCGTTTAATAATTCCATCCGCTTTTATCTTCATTGTTAATTGAGATATTGAATTGAAAACTTATTTGTTTAAAAGCTTGGGACAAATACTCTCATATACTGGATTCAATTGGTGTGTGACTTCATGGCTTACTTCTGTTTTATCGGAAATAACAGAAAATCTTAATTTATTTTTAATTTTTAAATAGAAACCTCCGTTTTTATTAAAAATTTTAATTTTAGGGACATTTATGGATAAGAATCATGTGTTAAAAATTACTGTCAGCTGTCAAAACGACCATCACATTGGAAAATATTTTTTTTATTATGGTACTGACAGAACATTTTCAATACTCGCTTCTTATACAAAAATATCCCAGAAATTCAAATTTTCAATAAGTAAAGGGGTTTTCATTTAAAGATAAAAATAAATTGCGATTTTCTGTTATGACTGGAAAAACCGGAAGTAAGCCATGACGTCACAGAACAATTAAATCCATCATAAGAAGACTCTCTTTTATTTTTCATTTTCTTTGTTTACCAACAAATAAACTTCCTAAATTTTTTCAAAATTTTGCCCCTCCCTATAGAATTGTGTAACGACGCCCATGGACATACCCTCTTTGAAATTAAAGTAATAAAAGTCAATTTTAATTCATGTGAGTGGCAAATTGGATGCCTTTATTATTCTCTGTCCAGTTTTGATGCCTTGTTTTTATATAATAGATAATATCTGCACTAACTTTATAATTGTAATAAGAGTTATTTTAATTTGACTTTTTATGTAACGGAAATTAAATCTTTTTAAGCAATAAATAAATGAGCCTACAAGAATGACGAAAGATAGTGAAACATTAATTGATTATGTTCTGTTAAATCACAATTGCTTATTTTCCTTTGTAAAATATATGTCTTCCAATTATCATAGATTCTCCATTTTGAAAGAATGCTTACACTGCTGCTTCATACAGACCGTACAGCCAAACAGGTTTTTTTAGACAAGATGACTTCACTTTTGGTTACTTCAGTTTTTATCTCATTTATAAATTTCAGATTCCAATATTAGTATTCTTCAAATACAGTCTTTGGGTATATCCACTCAACGAGCTTCTTTTATTACTTGGAAGAGAGACACTGGAGAACACCTACATAATTTTATAACATGGATGGACCTTAGAGCAAGCAAATTAATCAAAGAACTAAACGTTTCAGTAGCGACAATTGTAAGTTCAATAAAAAAAAGTAACTTGTCTCCTATCCATTAGTGATGACATAAAAATGAGCCAAAGATGACAGTTGCCTAATCAGGTTTTTAGTGCGTTTTGTTTATAGATTAATTACCTAGTTTTTAGCTTAAAAATCAATATTGAATATTATAAATATTAAAGACATGATTTATAATAACAGTCAAACACTAATGAATAAGTCTAGTTTGTTGTTTTTGCCAATCTTCAGCCATTTTTGTCCATTCTAATAGGACATCGGATTGCCTAATTTTGTAAAACAAATGAAATTAGTGGTTATGTGTCAATTTACATTTTATTTCTATTATTTGTACAGTACTGACCTAATGATGAATTATTAGGTTCTTTTGTTCAGTGTCCACCAATGTCAATTACACCACCTTATTTGCTTAGTTTGCTTCCCTCCTTATTCCTTATACACATGTCGAGTGTAATTCACTCCTGCTAAATAGCTGGTGGAGAAAGTATCCATCAGTGGACACCACACCAATTCGAATGGTGTTGCGTATTTTACACCAGGTCAATCGAAAGGTATAGTGGCCGTTGGTGTAGTTCATTCCTACACTAGTGGGACGAACGGAAGAGCCTAATATTGTCAAAATACACAATCCATTAAATCAAAATGTAACATTCCTATAATTCCTGACATTCCTAACATTCCCTGTCCATTGTTTTCTACTGAGTAGGACCCGATGGGATTCCAAATATATTTCTAAAAAACTGTATTTTTTTTCCTTACACCGGCTATTTACATTTTAATTAAGCAATCAATCTATAGATACAGGTGTTTTTCCAGATATCTGGAAACACAGTTTTGTTGTCCCGATTTTTAAATCAGGAGAACGGACTGATATAAATAATTATAGAAGCGTTAGTATTAAATCTTCTTTACCTAAATTAATGGACAGCTTAATTTTTGACCAGCTTAATTTTCAGTGTAAGGAACATTTGATCAATAACCAGCAGGGCTTCTGTCAAAAAAAATCTTCAGTTACAAATCTATTATACGAACAAAATATATTAAATGTTTTAGAAGCTAAAGGGAAGTTGACTGTTTACACAGATTTCCCTAAAGCGTTTGCCTGGGTTGATCATGAAATATTGTTATCGAAACTAGAGTCATTTGGTATACCATCTCAGCTGATGGTGAAATGGTTTAAAAGTTTTTTGACAGGTCGAAGTCAGCAGGTTAAAATCGGTAGTAATAGATCAAGATTAATTAGGGTTTCCTCAGATGTACCACAGGGCTCTCACTGTTCACCACTTTTATTTAATATATTTATTAACAATATAATAGAATGCTTTAAACATTGGGAGTTCTTAATGTTCGCGGATGACCTAAAGTTGTATAGACCAATTTACTCATCTAACGATCAAATCTTCATTCAGAATGATCTCGACAACTTAGTTAAATGGTGCGACCATAATAACCTACAGTTGAATGTTAATAAATGTTGCTTTATAAGCTTTTTTAAAGGGAACAAAAAGTGCAACTCACAATATTTATTTATTTATTTATACAAGTTCATACAAGTTTATTAATAATGTAATTTCTGGAATATAAAACAGCAAGCGCCTAAGTGAGTGACCACTTGTATTGCGCTGGTTAATATATGTTTAATAATTTAATTTTAATATAATATAATTGTAATAATATTGCGTACATCTTAGAATAAAATAATGATGTGATTACATGTTTATACCTACGCTACTCTAGTATTTTTATAAACTCATAATAATGTAAAAAAATAAATGTTTTACTTAGTTTAGAAAAAGTTTTTATGTTTGTAACATTCCTTATACTATGTGGTAAAAGGTTATATGTTTTTGGAAATGTATATACCAAAAATCTATGACAAACATTTCTATTAAATTTAGGAAAATATAGTAGCTTATTGGAGATAATTCACGTACTATACATAGAAGTTACGTACTATACATAGAAGTTACGTAATTTTGTCTAGACTCGTTAAAAGCATATATACAAAGGCTGTGAAAGTAAAGCGATCTAATATTACAAATATCTTCTGGTTTATTAATGTTTAAACTAATTGGGAAATGGTCTGTAATGTGACAGTTAAGTATATATGATTTATATTCAAAGTTTTCTTTATTATTGTATGCTTTTTTCAAGAAAATATGATGTAGGCATGAGACAGTTTCAGGGGTAACACGTGTGGGGTTTAATATGTATGGTATGGTACAAAACCGTATTTCGCAAGCATGGAAAGATATTTGTTTACATTTATATCATTTTCCTCTAAAAGGTTAATATTAATGTCACCAATTAAAATTTCATATTTGTTATTTTGAGTATTTTGGTCAAGGTATGTATCAAATTCATCAAGAAATGAGATCAAATTACTTGGGATTGGTCTGTACAAAGCGATTATTCTAAAAGATATATCATCAAATATCAGGTTTGTGACACACATTATTACATTAATGATAAGTCACTATCTCGGGTTAACTCAGTCAAAGATTTAGGAGTTATTTTAGATGAACAATTAAGATTTATTGAACATATGAATTCAGTCTCAATAAAATCATCCCAATGCTTTGGGTTAATATTGCGTAACTGTTCTGATTTCTCTCTAGAAGCCATAAATAGAGTTTATCAAACATTGGTTGTACATCAGTTGGAGTATGCTTCTATAATTTGGTCGCCACAATATCATATACACTGTCTAGCAGTGGAAAGAATACAAAATAAATTTCTAATAAGATACTGTGCCTTCAAATTAAATATTCGAGTAACTGATCACAATTATACTAGGATTTTAAATGAAATGAATATGAGCCGACTTAAGTACAGGAGACTTATATCAGATTTGAATTTTATCTATAGATTATTAAATGGTCTAGTCATATACCCGGAACGCTTAGAAATGATTTCTTTCAATAATCCTAATAATACAAACTATGGCATGCATTTACCTATTGAAAGAACATTGAGGGTAACAAATCAATTGAATCTTGAGGTTACAGGCATTTCTTTTAATAAATTTAAGGCAATCTGTACGAATGCACTGGAGTAAAAATGAAATATTACAACACTTAAAATGCATTTATTAATCTAAAACTTAATTTTAACTTTTTTTTTCTCTTGTATTTTTCTAATCTAATTTATAATTTACAATTATCTGTATCAATTATATTTGTTTTGCTTTGTAATGTGGTTGATTCCGTTTAAATAAATAAATATTTTTTTAGGCTTTAAGATGGGCTGCCTATTTCATTTACTTAGGCACTTGCAATAAGAAATTTGGAATGGCAAGCAAATTTCAAGTTAGAAATAATCATGTAAGTGTTTTTAAATAATTTTTTGTTTTGGGGCAGTTTTCTCTGTTACATACATTTTAATGGTCATAAAAGTCTCATTCATTTATGGCATTCACCATTAACTTCTTAGAAACATAAGTAAAAAAGTAATAATTATACTCCTATCGTTTCATGATTTAAAATATGTCAGGTGTGGACATAGGAGTGGTAAATATTTAATGTCATCATTGTCATCTATTGAATATGATGCAGTCATTGACTAATTTAATATAGGAACATTATTTTCTTTCCTGGTTCAAATAAAAATAAGTATAAATTACTTCAATAGACTGTCAATAGTAATACAATTTTGTAGTTGTTTTATATTGTTTGTAATAACAAAATTTTTGTGTATTGTTTAGGCTATTTTGCATTGTGAATTAATAGCTCATAAAAAAATTTCAAAGGAAATAATACTTAATTGTTTATTTTAAGTTCTATATACACTAAAATATTTTGCTTTCTATAACAATGGGATTATAAATTATTAATGTTATTTTAAAATGATAAATATCTTGATTTCTTATTTAATTATTTATAAATAAAAAAAGAGAAAACTAAATAAAATGTATTATTATCATATTATGCTCATGATAATGCTGGCCTTTTTCTTTAGGTAGGATCGGTAATATTAATTTTTCGCCCCCAATTTGAGCAATACTAAATCCACTACTACCATTTCAATCTCATTTCTATTAAAACTTTTATTAATACTAATACTTCCTCCCACATTTTTATTGTTTTTTCTCTCTTACTACTTACCTCAACAAGCCTTTATAATGGGGTGATATTTCTCCTCTCTGAAAATTTTCCAGCTACGTAGGTCTACTCTCCCTCATCTTGTCACCTTTAGGTAATCTTATACTATACATAATATATGTTGATTTCTGTTTTTGTCCGCCTCATGCTTCTGCTTCTTCGCCAAGCATTCTCATCTCTAGATATTTCACTTTAAGTTATTATTGTGATGTTCACTAATGCCAGCGAACAAATATTGTGTTGTATTTCTTTTGAGTTGTCTTCATTTATAAGATTTTAAAATTATAGACCATGAACATAATTTTCAATTTTATCATCAAACATTTTTCTATCAAAATTTTTTTCACTTTGTTATCCCTATTTTTAAGGTTTCTGGCAGATTTTTATGGGTTTTGGAAAATTTAAAACCTGTTCAAGAAGCTCTAAACTCCGACAATCTTATGTTTGGAACCCTCGACACTTGGTTGATATACAAATTAACTGGAGGTGTCAATTACGTTACTGATATTACGAACGCTAGTGCAACTGGTTTTTATGACCCATTTGTACTAGATTGGGGTATAATTGCTAAATCTCTTCGTATACCGACTTATTTTATGCCTACAGTTGTTAGCAATGATTACGATTTTGGAGAAACTGATGAGAAATTTTTTGGAACAAAAATAAACATCGGATGTGTGGTAAGTAGATTATTTAAAAATGTATGGCATAGGCTCATAGTGAAATCCGACTTTTCATGAAGATACACAATCTTCCAAGGCTTTTCATGAAGAGCCCATAGCATTTCGGCAAGTTGTGTGTAACACAACCTGCCTAAATTAAATTATTGCGGTTTCATGAAATGCCCATAAAGGCAGGGCATATTGTGTTTAAATAACTCTTCTGAGCTTGTTACCGAGACATTGGATTATATAGAGCGGGTCAGTATTAAACAAATACAAAAAATGCTGCAACCTGAATCAATACTTTCACACCACCCTAACGTTTTATCATATAAAATACTTCATATCGCTAAAATATTATAAACTATTTTAGAGTTTTTTGATTATGTCCATTAAATTTGAAATCGATACCTCAAACTATTCTGGAGTTATGGTGGACACACAATTTTTTTTTGTCAAAACTTGGTTTGATCATTTTAGAGCTAGTCTGACAGTTTTAGGCCAAAAATAAATATTTTTTGTTTATACTTTATTTACCTCCACCCTGTGTGATGTGGAAGTAATAGAATAAACAAGAAACATAGAATGATTTTATGTTAGGAATCTCACGATCAATATTTAGCAACTGAAATGTGAAACAAACAACCAGTTCTAAAGCTTATAGTAAATAATCTTCTAGTAAGATCTAAATGAACCATATACAGATTTATCCTACGGATATACTTAAATATCTATTATTGGGTCCCACCCTATATTATCTAGCATTGGTGTTTACTTATACTTGAATGATTTATAATATAACCTCAAATATTTTTTTATGCCTTAATAAAAAAAGGATCTTACCAAAACAAACCCTTTGAATTGCACGTCGCACCTACTTTCAGAGTTATCTGCATAATGGATAGACAACTCTTTTAGGACAATTTTAAATAAATCAAACATTATTCCCTATATATTCCCTATTTAACAAAACCTTACCTAAGAAATGACCTCATAACATTCTTATTACACACTACACATTTCCTCACCATCCTAAATGTCCTTATTAAATAGTTCAATGTTCAAATTATACTCGAAAATCTCAAATAACTACAAAAAAGCCCTATAAAAATTAAGCTGTCACTTGACGCCGTCAACAAAATGTCTTAGGTTACCAAACTTAAAGGTTATGAACCAGAATGTACAATATCCACATACGGTAACCGTGTAAAAGACAATAAATAAATATCTGAAACGTTTGTAATTAATAAAAAATTCATATTGATGCCTTCAATTCTTTATTTTTCTTTTTTTAATAGATTATATCAAAGGGAATAGTAATTTTTTAATAAAAATTTAATGCAGGATATTTGATGGAAGAGATCTGACAACATAGGAAGAAATATGTTGCGGACAAATTCAATGTTTACAAGGCGTATTTAATATATCCGACATCTTTGGTTCGAACCAAGGAACTGCTAGGTTGAAAACCTTGTTTGCAGTGGCGGCTCTTCCTTAGGTTTGCAGGTTTGCACAACTCCCAAAACAATTTTGGTAAAATAAAAAAGAATACTAATTATATGTTTTTAAGTTCATACCAAAATTCTGCACCTACATTTATGTGCGAGGAGCAGTCAATGACTGAAATTATTTCAATTTCACCACCTTTTCATAAATATCTTTAATTTTCTCGCCGCGACTGCTTTGTTGTTGCCATACAGTTTGCAGATCGAATGCAAATCAATCCGGCTCTGTTAACGCGCACTTGTTTGTGTTACTATGCATGTATTTCAAATTCCGTCCCGTAAGCTCAGTTAGGTTGCAGGCCGAGTGTTTATTTCGCCCGCTAATTACTGATTTGTTATAGTGTGGTGCGTGGCCGCTTTTTTCGTTTGGTTGGGGTGTAAAAATGAATTCAGTTGAAAGTTTAATTTCAAACCCATTCTGTGGTCGATCATTAATTGATAAGGCTGAAATAAAAAGACTTGGTAGGCCCACTCCGAATCTAAAAATAGAACAATATGTGTCTAGCAAAAAAAGGTACGTCAAAAATCATCCAAAATGAAATTTTACAAACAATGTTTACTGTATGCCAAGAGGAAATTTCTAAGGAAATAGTACAAGCCGATTATTTATCTATAATTGCCATAGAAATAATATAGAAGACCAATATAAACATAACATTTAAGCAGAAATTGAAACCTACTGTGCATAAAAACGCGTCTCTGCGCCTGACATCGCAAAATAGTGTGTCTAGAAGCTTGCGCAATATGCATGACTTGTCCCTGTAGTGTTGCCAAATATATTGAACATACCTAACAGAAAAGAATTTTAAATTAATTAATTTTTAAATTATATGATTTAAACAGTTTATATCTATGAAATATCGCAACAAAATAACTTATAAACATTTAAATAATCAACTAATATTTAAATAATCAACTAATATTGGGTCCTATGATTGAACGTTTATGTTATCGGTAACGTATATGTTAGGCCGAATTTTAAAAGTAACGAGGCAAGTTCGTATGATGGAAACCTGTTAAATTAGAACATAACAGGCGGAAAATAACAGTAATATGTTATGAAAGACTTTACATCATTCGAATTTGTCTCTTTGCTGTTAAAACTCGGCCTAACATGTACGTTACGGATAACGTAAACGTTCAATCATACCACCCAATATTTATGTGTAATTACATTCCCAAAAATATATACAAATACCGTATTAATGTCATTAATACCGTATTTTTATGTTCAATAAGCGATTCACCTACAAATTCAATATTGACCTGGCAATAGCACCAAAATCCGGTGTTTCAAGGCTATATGACGCTGCCCTTACAGGACCGTTTGTAGTTTATTATTTATGCCGCGTTTGAGAATCCACATCGGATGCATCTGAGATGTAGTAAGTAGTAAATCTTTGATCACGTGATTCAGTATACGTAAATGTAATGGGACAGATGTGTCCGATGTGGATAAAAAACGCTCGATGTAAAAAATGCATCCGATGTGGATTCTCAAACGCGGCATTAATTACAAGATGAAAGTGGCATTTTATTTTTAGTTTTGTGTAGTGTTTAGTCAAATCCTAGGTACAATAAAAGACATTTTTACATTGGCTAATGAAAATGTAATCAATGTATTAGGCAGCTGTTATATTTATTACAAGATTTATGTCTGCAAATCTAAACCTACCTAAGAATTATAATTATGTAAATAGAGAGCTGTATATTTATATACAGGCTGCCCAGCGACGGGGAGACATTATCGATATCGGTTTTAAGGCATTTTAAAACATAAACCCGATCTCAACAATCTTAGGAACTCTTCTGTCACTCGATATTTTAATCGGTACTTCCTCTTCGCTTTTTGGCTGGCACAACAATTATTTACATTTCTTCATTCCTTACCGCGTTCGAACCAGTAAGATTTAAAGAAATTAAAAAAAAAACCTTCTTTAAAAATAAAGATGTTAATGATTTTCTTATGGATCCCATCTTCAGATCTTGACTTAATGTATATAAAACTGTTTCCTTTTCTAACAAAAAGAATCCTAGAAATCGGGCAACGTGGTAAAGAATTATCGCTCAACATACATAAAAAAATATTTCAACGAATTGAGAATATCCTACCATTTTGAAGTATGTTAAAAAAAAATTGTTAATAAAGTGAAAAGTAGGGCATGAACATATATTATAAAGTATATAAAATGATAGATAAATCCAGTTTAGAAGGTATTATAAATAAACTGGAAATATCGAGAATCTCGATTTTGAATCGGAAAAATATTCTACGCAATTTAGTATGAAAGCTGATCAAAATGAAACACATGAACGACAAACTGTTATTGACAACTTTCTTCAAACGTTTTCTATTTTTCCGAAAACTAACTAGATAGTTCGAAAATCATTTCCTTCGTTTAAACGCCTCTTGTTCCGAAAAAGTTACACGCCTGTCAACATTCATCGTTCATTAAAAAAGTGGTAGATACAAAACGCTTCGTATTGTAAGGCCAAAATATATTTAGAAATCGAAATAGTCATATAAACAAAAAAATCATATGAGTGAGATAACTACCAAATTAATGATTTACAAGTTTATTCCTATTATTTATAAAATAGGTTTGCAATGTGCTGGTGTGGAATGTTATCATCGACTAAAAACTTTAAATCTTTGTATTAAATTGATCGAAAACAAACTATAAATTGGTTTAGGCTATATAGAATGTTTCTAGTAAGCAGCAACTAATTTTTATTATGGAACCGAAAGACCCTTTTAAAAGGGTTCAAAATTAAAATAAAATATGTACCAAGTAAATGTAGTAGTATTTTTTAATTTTTTAATTTATATTGAAAATGGTAACATGAAAGGTTTTCTGTCTAACAACTCATAGTCTCGGCTGACAAAATGTAAAAAAATATCGAACATAATATTCCTGGGCCCTATTTTGCACTCCCCAGATTAAATTTAGTTGTAGCAAATGATATTATCAAATAAGATGTCAAATCACAAGCAAAATCTCGTGAATACAGTACTAATGATTGCCTGTTTGGAAAAGTATCTTTATTTGTAAATATTTATATGCATAGTTATATTTAAATGCGCGAGTGTAATGTTAAGTATAAACAAAATCCGCCCATTATGTATATACGTTTAGTTACCGACCCTAGTAGATAGGCAATTTGTTATTGTTTTAAGTTTTACCGTAGGGAGAGAGAAAATCAATATTAGGATAAATGGTCCAGCTCCTTTCTGGTTACGTAGGTACCTAAAAAGTATTTTAGTTTTTGGTTAAGTAATTAATTATTGTAACAGTGATTTTCTTGTGATGGTACCTAATTTAGATTGTGGATTAAAGTTTTTGTATATCATTTCGCTGTTTAATAATAAACGTAGTCAAAACCGGAGCACGTGGTTTTTCTGGAAAGTATTTTTAAAATCACAAGCAAAATCTCATGACTACTGTGCTAATGATTGCCGAAAATTAACTAATTCATATTTTCTGCCATATCTTTCTTAATAAGGACTGTCAGAACCATATTTACCTTAACTTGAAATTTTTTTAATCGTTTTTTGTATAGAATCATCTCTAAAAATGTATGATTGAAATATCGTGTGAACTATTTGTTCGATCAATAAAAAACTTGCACCGGTCCTGTTCGCGCCAGCACCGTTATACGCATGAGCTGAGACACACTATTTTCTCCTTATGGTTTCATTTTTGATATATGGAATCGGCTTTCTATACTATTTCTATGATAATTGCTGATGAAACTAGTGACGTATAAAATAAATTTCAAATGGCAATTGTATTTAGATACATTGTAAAAGGCAAGCCAGTTGAACGATTTTGGGATTTTTTGATGCCTTCAGATCATGACGCCAAAGCTTTATCTTCGGTTATTCTCACCGATCTTGAGAAGCACGTGAAAGACAAGAGAAGCTAACTTATTGCACAAACATATGATGGTCCATCAGTTATGAGCGGGTTGTCTAACGGGGTGCAAGCGATTATTAAACAAACGTATGGACACGCTGCATACGTGCATTGTTATGCACATCAATTAAATTTGGTAATGTTAAACTCGGCTTCCGCAAACAAGAATATCCGAATTTTTTTGTAAATTTACAAGAAATTTGTACTTTTTTTTCAAGTAGTCCTCAGAGATCTGCAATACTGGATCAACTCGTTAAAAAACGCTTACCACGTTCAGCCCCGACCAGAAGGAATTTTAATTCCAGAGTGGTTTGTACCGTATTTGAGTATAAAAACGGCATTCTGGAGACAATAGAAAAACTTCTAAATGAAAGTATAAACGTGAGTACTACCAACCAAGGATCAGGATATGTCAAAATCCTTAAAAGCAAAACTTTTGTGTCCTGGTTAAACTTGTTTTACAAGATAATGGCCACATGTTGACTTATTATTTGGTAACTTTCAAACAAGACAAATTGACGCTGTTATCGAAAAAAAATTATATTATCATTTGAAACTAAGTTAACAGAAATTAGAAATAGCATTTTGAACGACGTTGGTCCATCTTCATCTAATTCAAAGCGGCACAAGCTGGATGACTCTGCGGAATTTTCTCGGGAAGCAAAATAAGTTTGTGATATTATTATTTGTCAAGCAAAAGAACGATTCAGTTTTACAGGCCACCTAGTTGCAGCCAGTATTTTCTTTTCAGAAGAATACGTCAAATAAAAAATTACCCATTTTTCATCTAGCAAAAACTCCGTACAGAACTAACCATCAATTATGTTACAGAAGAACTTAAATCAGTTTCGGGACTCTTTGTGCTTTATGACTGTATTTCTCAAAATATTGAGTTAAGTGAAACTCTTAAACTCATAAAAATTTTAATTACCATTCCTATGACTTCAGCTGAAGCAGAACGGTGCTTTTCAACCCTTAAACGAATAAAAACATTTTTAAGAAATACCATGTGCCAAGAAAGACTTTCGGCATTGGCAATGCTTTCTAAAGAAAGGGATCTTATTGAAGCATACCCGATTTCAATCAGAGGGTTATTGATAAGTTTGCTACTGCTAAAGATCGTCGTATGGATTTTCTCTTTAAATAAATCTAATATTAGATCATTTAATTTACATGTTCATTTTGTATATTTATTACCTTATTAATAAAGTTTGTTACCTATTTTTGTATGTTAAAAATGTTTCAATCCACTGCTAACAGTCTTTTGGGCGTGGCCCCAAAAAATTATTCGTTGTGTCTGACATAACAAATAATTCAAGTGACTGCTCACTGTCCGAGCAAATCGAACATCGAACGCCCCGCTGTCAACATGCCAATTCGTTTATTAAACGAAAGAATTACCTTAGGAAACCCCCATTTTAACGAGTTTTTTTTTACTTATGCAATTTTCTACTTTTCGTCTAAGGCATTTGACCTTGAAATGAGCCAAAAAAATTTCTGTGATTCTAAGGTTGTGCACCCCCAAAAATATTAAATCACGAGCCGTCACTACTTGTTTGTGCACTCGGGGCTAAATTTTTAATGCAAAAATCGACCTTTAGACAATCTTAGACTAAATATTGCAATTATTTAACATTTTAGATGGCAGATCAACAATCTTCAGTGATCGGCTCATGTAGTTTTCTAGAAGATGATTTGAAACTAACAATGGGCACAGGGGCTTTTTTGAATGTGAATACAGCTACAACCATCCATCCAAGCTTAAATGGAATGTATCCTTTAGTAGGATATCAAATAGGAAAAGAGTTAATATATGTTTCTGAAGTACCCTGTACAGATGCTGGTTCCATTATTCAGTGGTTACTACATTGTGGTATGTTAAAAAATATTTTTTAAACTCATGACCATAAAAGCTTTACAAAATCAACTTATTAACAAATTATCTGTTCTCCCAGCAGTGTATCGTTGTATTAACTAATTCATAATCACTGATTAATATCTTACTATGATAAACTTGCTTATTTTTAGGACTGGTAGATAATCCGTCCATAACTGCAGATATGGCAAGCAGTGTTGAAGATACTAAGGGTGTTTTCTTTGTACCAGCTTTTAGTGGGTTAGGCGTAAGTAGATTATAGTTTTAACTAAAACTTACTGAACTTAGAGTTTTAAGTAAATCTCTAAGGTTGGAAAAAAATATATGATTTACAATATGAAGAGTAAGGCTATACTAAAATGGAATGAGAGTGCAGAAATATGCACCCGCTGTAGGCGCACCCTAACAATAAATAATTGATGGCAACCACTTTATTTTACTTGCAGAAGCCTAATCCCACTGAACGAAAATATGGCGCTTATGATGACTGACGGTCAAGTACTTTCATCGCATGGTGGAGGGCAGGCATCGAGATAGAATGAAGTAGAGACGACATAAACACTAGTTTGCAATATATAAGACAGATTGACGCACTTAGTGATGACAAGGGTGATAGAAGTGTGTAATCAAAATGGCGACTTAGGTCCGTATTTATAAACAAAACTCAGCTAAGTCGAACTTGGGTAAGTCGTCCTTGAACTAAAATCGAAGTTCGGTTATATCGCGTGAATTTAGAGATGGGTAGTAACAAATCCGTAAATGTACATAACAGTTACAGATTTGCTAATATTTATCTCTAAATTCCAGTGTAACACCGGAACCACTTGGAACTTTAGATACGTTGTAACCGAACTTCGATTTTAGTTCAAGGACGACTTACCCAAGTCCGACTCAGGTAAGTTCTGTTTATAAATACGGACCTTAGAGTCGAACTTTAATTTATTTGAAGTCAATAATTTTATATTTAAAGTTTGACCCAATGAAAATATTTTTATATCATTTAAATGAAATTAAAAAAAAAATGGCAGTCCTTATCATTAAAACTGACTGGCTCAGGTAGGTTCGACACTTGACATAAATGTGTATTATAAATGCAAAGTTGCGGACACTTTTAGAAACGGCAGAACATCTCTTTATTCTATCTCATTAAGGGCAGATCATTCACAATATTTACACTCAATTTGCCTTTATTTTACAATCCATCAATTTGTATATTCAGTAGAATATGAGCCACTTGGGTACAAACGAGAGTACAAATTGATCGATTTTTCCTTAGATTTGGGTAAATTTGTCAAATTAGTCAAAACCGCACCGAGGAGCTGAAAGAAAGTCAACTAAACTAAAATTTGTTTAATCTGGCAATACTGCATCTCACATCTTTCAAAATTTAAATCTAACTTGTCAATCAAAAAACGGCATCTAACCTTATAAGCTGAAGGAGAAGATATTGACCATCTAACCTAATGTTTGCGAGGCTAACCTAACAACTACAGGCTGTCAACAGCTCATCAGTGCGGTGTTGCCAGATTTGACAAATTTCCTCAGATTTAGGAAAAAATCGTTGAATTTGTAACCAAATAGCTCATATTCTACTACAATCTTCACTGTTTTGTGCTAACTATTTAGAGATAAGGTCGCTAAATTTAGAACAATTTCATCAATAACGATAATTATCTATTAAAGTAAGTACATCAAATTTACTTTCGTCTGAAAACCTAGTGGTTCTGTATATTCGGTGGCTACACTCTGATTATTGATACAGTTCATTAATTGTTTACAAAATTTAATCTTGCCGCCTGCAGTACCTATGCTGATTGGTAGTATATTTGGATGCTGGTCCCTCAAGAGTCTAAATAAATGACAACAATCAGATAGTAAAATATTTATCACTAAATAAAAATGAAATTTTCAGCCTCCAATAAATAACGATGAAGCTGCCACTGGGTTTATTGGTATAAAACCTACTACTCAGAAGGAACATTTGGTTAGAGCAGTACTAGAGAGCATTGTTTATCAAATTGTCAAGACTGTAGATTTATTAAAGACTGAAAGAATTGGAGATTATCGTTCTATAAGGTATATTACAAAAATTATTCTGTTTGCTCAGATATTTCCTTTATTACAAGTTGTATCAAAAAAACCGTTTAATTAAAATAGAATGCAGTATGAAAGTATGATAACTTTTATTTGAAACTTTGGTATATTTGATACAAAAAATAAATATGGATTTATTCTTAGAGCAATTTTACAATTCACCATTTTCCTTGCTTACAAGTTAAATTTCGACAATTTTATTGCACTTCTGCGCACTAACGCCCTTTCGATCAGTGCCAGTGATGCCAACTTTAATACGGTTTTCAAACGGTGTATTAATAAAAATAGAATCACATCACAGGTTGCCAAACTTAAAAGTTATGAACCAGAGTCTTCAATATCGCCATATGTTACAAGTCAAAAAATCTTAAGTGATTGTAATGAATAAAAAACTCATATTGAAGTTTTCAATTCGTAATTGTTTAATAGAAAAGTATATGTTTTAAACCAAATATACCGAATACAATACTTTTGAGAGATCTACAATATGTGAATTAATTAGATTTGGCTTTTAATACGGAGAAAAAATACACCTGGGCCTCGATTCTCGACTTCACGGGAAAATGTTCCTATTGGTAATAAATCCACTACTTATTTTCCAGTGGTATTATAAAACGGTATTCTCCACTAAGTTAGGAATATAATTCCTATGCCTGGGGCTCGATTCTCGAGTTCATTGGAAAATTTGCCAGTCCCTTATAGCAGCTCCCACAATTTCTAACTGATTTAAGAAAATCAGTTCATACAGTTTCTTAGTGAAAGAGAAGTAAAAATAATATACCTACATAAATAAAATAATATAAATCTATAAATACGCCAAAAAAATGTTTTAAGTACAATTTCACCAAAAATCGAAGATATCCAATAATCTTTGGTTATTCTTTTGTCAAATTTTCGACTTTGATGCGCAAACTCTTCCCATTGGAAAACAATTTCCAATGCTCGTAAGCAGGAGAATATTTTCCCATACTTCTCATTGGAAAATTATCCACCGCTTATGTCGAGAATACGAAAACTGAATTCCCATGGGAAAATTAAAAGTAAAGAATCGACCCCCTGGTAATAAATACGAAAATATTGGAAATTGACCAATAACAATCCAGATATTTCAATATTTTCAAGTTGTGTTGGGATCATTTATTCTTCTCATGTCAATGATAATAATAATGTCAGTTATTGATTCTTGCGAAATAATTGTGGTGATCTATACAACGATGGATACAAAGAAAAAAATATGTCAAAAAATAAAAATTGTGAATCTATTAGGCGAGTGACACACTGGAGAAACGAATTTCGTGAAACTCGTTTCAAGAAACATGCAACTCGTTTCAATATCAAATAACCCATGTACTTATATAAAACGATGCACACTGGCGTTTCTGAAACGGGAGACCAGGGGCCCTATTCTCGAATGTCTATTTCTAAATGTCACACGCGACATTCATGATATGTCAAACAAAAACGCAAAAACGTATTCTCAAATGACGAATTCGACATTTGCTGTTAGATATAAAGTCGAGTGGTATTCAACCAGTCGACATTTTAATGTCGCCTACCTTTTTAAAGATAATGTTACAATATGAGTGTTGTGACACTGATAATTTATGTTTATTTCTAAGAGAAATGATAATAAGTATTGTATAAATTGTTTTTAAAAAAATTTGATTTGATTAATAACAATTTCACTTAATTTATCAATCATTAGTCCTATCTGTCCAAGAGATTTAATTCCTGTCATTAAGAAATTTATATAGCTCTATTTTTCAAATTGAAGGGAAAAAATATCATATCCCTTTTATATAGTGTTTAGATTATATTTTAATAATATATTTGTTCTTCTTTTTATTTAATCTCTTACCAAATTGCACTTCCAATTTTCTATTTAATCCCTCATGAAATTTCAGTTAAAACGATTATAGTATATTTTCTCTACTTTCTAATTAGTATTTATCAAAAAAAATATATTCAGGATATATTTTCAGTATTATTTTGTATTACTAAGAGATCCGTCAAGTAATTGTCTGCTGTAATATTCCCGTATTGTATGTTTCTATCCAATGTTGTCAGATGTTACCATTCGCCAAATATGTCACCGATTTTAAAATGTTTGTCTTTGAGAATTAGGCATTCCAACGACCTGTCCAAATGGCTACCAGTGGGTAATGACAGTTTAGATATGGCAACCCTGTTGTCATGTTGTCATTAACAGGGCCAATGATACATATATAGTTATATAGATTGCTCAAAGCTGGTCGTTTACAAGCGGCTATATTGTCTGGCAAATATTTATTAATTTGAATCGGTTTAGCAAAAATGTGTTTTAAAACCAATTTTTAGCCTTTAGGTATTTAAAAAAAATAATTGCTTATATTTTTACTTTAAGGCATAAGCTTATGTTTATTTTGAAAAATATGGATGATCAATCTATGTAACTATCTATTTCATTGATCTTGTCAAATCACCAGGCCTACAGGGTTGCCATAATTTTGCCATATCATAACCCGTCAAAACCCACTGGTAGCCATTCAGTTTGGAATGCCTAATACGGATAGTGTCAGTCGTTCGAAATTTTGATAGACAATATAGTAGTAGGCATTATGACGAATGCGACATTTTTAATAGACATTCTAGAATAGGGCCACAGAAATTGTTTCGTCAACAAGTTTCGTGAAATGCAACGTGCTCTGTTTGTTGTAACTTGTTTCTTGAAATTCTTTTATTTTTCTTAGGATTTTATTACTAGTAGCTAATCAAAATTCCAAAAGAAAAAACTGATTTTGATATTAAGCTTGTAAAAATTGTTTATATAATTATGAGTTACCGGAATATAGCAAACGAGACTCTGTGGCTATGGCATGGAAAAAGTGGCTCAGGAAATGAATTAATCGGGTGATAAAATAAGTTTTAAAATTTTTATAATATGTTTGATAATCTAATTATTAGTTAACCCTTTTATTTATACAATATAATTGTTTTGCCAAGATAAATTTTAAGTATTAAAAAAATAGTCAAAGAAATAATCTCTTATCCCAGAAGCTGAGGTCAAATTTCTAGCTCTTTCTTTATCTTCCTCGTTTCCTCTTTCAATTATCTGATTTTCTTGATATTCTGTGAAATCTGATGGCTCTTAAATATGTTCCTCTGTTTTAGAGATATAATTGTGTAAAATATTGTAATGTGAGCCATTTCGTTATTCAGTCATGCTCTAATTCTCCAAATCCCTCTCTGTCTTATTTGGCCTTTGAGGCTCAACTTGTCCGATTATTATACATAATTAAACCCCTTAAGACCAAACATATGTGACGACTATGGCGGAGACACTTTCGCGAACATTCTTGAGTCGAGATAACGTTTTTGGTATATTCTGGATATTTTTGTGGAGGAGCATTCTAGACCACCAATTTATATATAAATATTGGTGGAGGACCAACAAAAGTTAGTTATTATATGGACAGTGAAGATAAATAGTAATTAGTAGATAGACAGTGGTGAATATAAATAGTGAACAGTTCAAAAACATTCGAAATATATATAAGTTAGAATAGAAGTGTTATAAATAAATAAGTGTTTAAATAAATTATTTACAAATAAACTGTTGTTTAAAATAAACAAACATCAGAATACAAGCTGTTTTTATAATTGATGATATCACAGTATTCGCGGAACAAACCGTCTGACCTTCGAAAACCTTAAACTTGGAAACGTAACATTCCAAAAGTACACAGATTTTCGAGCTCTGCTTAGTCTATAGTTAAAAATGCGCTTTTTATTTGTCAAAACTTGCTTAAAGGAAATGCTTCATCTCCACATAAAAAAATATGGAATATTTGGTCCATTTTCATCTTTTGATAATTGTTCAGCTGGAGGTAAACACAGCGCTCCTCTGTCTAGCCAACGGCCTAATCGGGATGTCCTAAAAACACCTCCATCGCTATTATGCCCTAGGTCACTAAAATCTATTGTAGTAAAATAACCATCGGCATCTACACTTGCCATAAGCTGAACTGAAAAATAACCTTTATAATATATATTCCTGGAGCCTGTGTTAGCAAATTTGTGACCACGAAAGTGCTTTCCATCTATTAATCCCACGCAATGAGGGAAATTCCAAAGCAAGTTGTAGCGATCGGCTATTCTTTTCCAATCATTTTATGTAGGTACAGGCATATTCAAAGGTTGACGGGCGGTCCATATCGCCTCACAGGTATTCGCTATTATTTTTCCAATCGTTGAAGCACTTCTCATAAAAGCAAACCCCAGTTGCTTAAAATTTACTCCAGTTGCTAAGTATCTAAAAAAAAGTCAATTAATTTTGTTAATTATACTTTCCTGAAAATACTTGTTTTTATTTGTATTTTATTGCAGTTCAAGAATGCAAAGATACATGGCGGATATTACGCATAATGTTTACAAGATCCTTCAAATTACCTGCTAGTGGAAGTGTAGCTAAGAAGTTATCTCAGAAAACTAGAGACATGATAAAAGAAATGAATTTAATAAGATCTTACGTCAAAAACAGTCAAGATTTACTAAGTAATTTGCCACGACTTCCATCTCCTGAAAGTCAAGATCCCAATTCTGGTGAAAACATCAGAGATGTTGAAAATATTGACCCGGACGCGCAATCGAACTGTCCTCGCAACGAAAAAGAGGATGTGATTGAACTACCTGCTAAAGCTGCCACTCCACAGCTGAAAAGGTCAAAACAGGTAGAATCACTAACCACAAAGAAAAGGAAACTTCAACCTGACAAAGATTGCTAAGTTGCCTCTTACATTATGGACTATCTTAGACAGAAACAAGTGGATTCAGATAACCCAAAACAACTATTTTTGTTGGAACAGAAGGATAATCACCAAATGAGACGGTTTAGATGCAAAGTCAGTCAACTTATAGATGATATTTTAACAATGCACTGTAGTTACACCAGGCTCTTGGCAAACTATAAACAGTCATCAGGGTATTCTAGTTTCAAATCAATTATCCACGCAACCTGCGGATGTTCAGGATTGGCTCCGTAGTACCACCGGGTATTGACAAAATGATCAGGAGAACCCAGAATATGACTCATCGGCCTGGTTCAAATGGGCCAACGTTTAGCAATTCGCAAAAATATTAAACAGCATTATTACCATGTTTAACGTTAATTATAATAGTTAGTTTTTTATGTTTGTCGTAAGTACCCTCAGTAGTACCTTTTGTTAGTATTATCTTAAATTATTTGCTTACCTTCTTTCTTCCTCCAATGAGTTTCCTTTTTCTCAATTAACGGCCTAATCAATGCTAATAGACGATAAAAATTTTCTTGTTTCATTCTATAAAACTTTTGAAACTCATCTGGGTGTTCTCTGAGTTCTTCTCCAATGGCGGTCGCACTATGTTGCAAGTTTTTTCATTACTAGAATGTATGTTATGTTGAAAATAGGGTGTTAATACACTGCGACCTAAAAGATCTATTGTCCCCCCTTCTATCGCCAGTGCACTAGGAAATGTCTCAATGCCTATAACGACCCTTCCAATCCTATTTCCTCAAGGAAGTGTAGGATTTGAAGTGGCTTCAAGTTAGGTAAATCTCCCTCTTCTATTTGATATCCTCCTAGATATAGTGCCCTTGGATTCTGGAGTGCTACACATTCAGTTAGGATGTGAATGGAGGTTTCGTCCTCATCCTCCTCACAGAATCTGCACTCACTATCCTCTACTACTCTCAGTTTACTTAGGTGTCCTTTTAGTCGGCAATGCCCGGTAAGGATCCCTATTACAATACGTAGCCTGTTCTTGCTCAGGCAGATGCAGGCTCCCGATCTTTTCTGGTTATATTCACCCAGAAGTATCTTGGCCTGTCTCAGCCCCAAGAGATTGTTCCAATTATCGGTTCTTCTACTGCCCAATTCTTTTTTAATCTCTCCTAATATTATGTTAATTCTGATACCGCAGAACGGCTCAGGTCCTACAAAGGGTATTTGAGCCCCTTTCCTTGCAAGACTATCTGCAATCTCGTTACCCTGTACCCCGTTATGTCCCGGGACCCAAGTGAGAGTAACTCTATTTTTCTCGCCTTGGCTTTTCCAGACCATTTTTGAGCTGATTACGTAAGAGCTCAGCGCTTTGATGGCTGCTTGACTATCGGACATGATGATAATCTCTTGTCTATGATAGTTTCTCTCGATGTTAAACTGGATACACTTCTCTATGGCGTGAATTTCCGCCTGGAAGATGCTTGGGTATTTTCCCAAGCTTTTGGAGTGCTTGGTTCTGGGCCCATACACTCCTATTCCAGTTCCTTCTATGGTTTTGGAACCGTACGTATACCACTGAATAGCATGTCTTTCGGTTGCAAGCGCGATGGATTCTTGGCGCCATTCTTTCTTGCAGCCCAGCTCTGTGGTTTTGAAGTTTTTCACAAAACTGTACTTCTTTAGCATTTCATCCTGGGGCATGTCCCAGGTATCTTTAGTCCTGAAGCAAGTAGACTTTCGTCTGATTACTCCGTTCCTGATCATTCTATATCGTGTTTTTTTTGCCACATTCTCTATCATTAAATGTAGAGGGGCGAGGTTTAAGATCACCTCCATTGCGGCCGTAGGACAGGTTCTCAATGCACCAGTAATGCAAACACAGGCTAGTGTTTGTACTTTTGAGATATTAGCTCTCGTAGTAGCTAAATTAGTTCTGTTACTCCAGGCTATAGCCCCGTAAGTGTTGATTGGTCTCACTATTGCAGTATACATCCATCGCAGTATGTTTGGGTTACATCCCTATCGTTTACCTGCAATGTTTCTGCGTACCATTAGGGCTTTTGTGGCCTTATTTACTACTTCCTTCTCATGTGTGTTCCAGAGAAGTTTGTTGTCCAGGGTTAGGCCTAGATATTTGACTTCATTTTTCCATTCTATATATATATCCTCTAATTTAACGGTTTTAAGATTAGAATGTACCTCTATTTCGGTGTCTGCGGTTCGCCCACCATAATAAAACTACATCTTCATCCAAAGGCTTATTTGCAACTAGTTATTTTTAATATTAAATATGAAAATTGTTTCTACAGTGTGCACTAAACGAGAAACTAGTTTCATGTAAACATGTTTCACGAACAAGTTTCACACAATCAATTTCTCTATTATTGTTTCCATATCTGCAAGTAGACCAGGGCCGCCTATTTTGATAGTCTAAATAATTTTATAATTTTGGTTTCATTTAATGATTTAAAGGGATCTTCTGTCTCATTTTTCCAAAAATATATTGTGGCATTATTTTCTCTTCCTTTTGCCTCTTCTATATGGTTTAATTGAAGAAGTAAAATAGCTTCATCCATTTTAAGAAACAAGATATATTAGAAATAATGATATTATTATTTAAGGTAGTTCACTCGTAAAACGGCCTCAATAAAATTGAAATATGAGGTTAATGAAAGTGTCTTTTATGTATAAAAAAAAAAAAAATTTTGACCGTCTGAAAAACGAGATAATGGCTGCGTTCATCCGCGCCATTTCAAGGAGCGCTACAAAAGTAGCGCTCACTTACGCTACCTGATCGATCTTTATGCACGGATGAACCATGTTTAAAAGTGACATTTGATTATGGTTTATTCCATGGTGTTTATTCATTTTACTTTTGAGTTGAATGTCTCTGGTTGAAGATTTGTGGTTTGTTTATTTATTTTTCAATTGCTAATATAACCCTACTGGTCACCAAGCAAACCGTGGACGTAAGTGCGTAAGACAGATCAGTGATCACCGATCAGACGTAAATAAAATGCGCTACTTTTAATGGCGGCCGCTCCTTGAGCGAAATGTCAAAATACACCGTTCATACGTGCCACTCGAGAGCGCTACCAGATCGATCAGGTAGCATGTGGCGCGGATGAACGCGGCCATTAACAATCAAAATGTGTATAATTAACACTCTTGAAGCCCTGTCATGTACACAATCATTGCATTTATTTCAAGATATCTCGAAAACGGTTCTTACCATATTTTTTAAAAACTAATGTAATGTAAATCAAGAAGTTATAAAATTTTCTAAAAAAACGCTGAATTTTTTTACCGTTTTGATAAAGAAATATAGATTTTTAAAATAAAAATGTTCTTAAAGCAGTCGACGCATAGTAGTGGCGTATTGTGATTACAACTTAGCAACATTGTAATCGATACACTCAACGCCCGCTAATTCAAATGTCTGTTAGATCAGTGCTTCCCAACCTTTCTATTGCCGCGGACAAGTCAAGTTTATCACTTTATCGAGGCCTTCTGGAAAGGGACGTTGTTTATACTTTAGGTTGATATGATTTAACAATTTAAATTTAATTGTATTTAAACATGTCTTCAAAATTAAATAAATATGCAAAAGATGAATATAATTTTATTTAAACATGTCTTCAAAATAAAATACAGTTACACAAAAAAAATGAATATAAAGTAATTTAAAATTTTAACTTACTAGTATGAGGAAGTCATAAAAAAATACAAATAAAAGTAATGATTTTCTGTAGTATTGATGATATCGTAGGAACGTTCATGACAGCAAGAAATTTATTTAAAGCAGTTTGACCAAACCCTGAATGGACAGCACCCACAGATTAGCTTTGATTCAGTAGAATACATAACCAATATTCCCATTGGAAATTGGATTATCCATGCCAAAAACGAAGTGTAAGAAAATATTCCAATAGGAAAATTATCTTTTTCCCATGGGAAAAAAAGTCGACAATTGAGGCCCTGGGGTTGATTCTCGAGTTGTAGGAATCTTTTTCTATATGAATTTTTGACATTTTACTATGTATAGGAAATTCATATTTTCCTATAAATAGAAAAGTGTCGAAAAATTCCTACAAGTCGAGAATCGACCCCCTTGGCGAGACTTGTTGAGAAATTGAGATGGAAAATAAGTTGTTTGAAAAATTACTAGATTCAAAAGACTCGTACTTTTTTCGCGCATCATTAATGCAAAATGGTTGAATAATTGGAAAATAAAACACCATTTAAAAAGGTATCGTTTTAAATGATATGTTATTCTTGTCAAAAAAAAAAACTATTTACTGACACCATGCAGCAGTCGCAATTTTACTTGTAAGCAATAAATATTGGGAACAAAAGTGGTTCTTAATACTTTTTTTTTCTTTCAGAGTTGATGGTGGTCTGTCCGAGAATAATTTTATCTGTCAATTGCTAGCAGATCTTACCGATTTACCAATAATTAGGTTGTACATGCCAGATATTGCAGTTTTGGGTGTTTCCTATGTAGCAGGTCTCTCATGCGGTAAAAATAATTTATAGATATTTACGCCATTATTTTACATGTTGTCCGACGCATCTAAGTTGATTAACGAAAAACCCCAGGCTCTATACAATTTTATTTTTAGGATTTTGGAGTAGCAAGGGAGATTTTGAGAAGCACTGCGACATATCTCATACTTTTAGGCCTGCAGATTCTACAATATACAAAGATAATTGTAGAGAAATATACAAAAAATGGTTGTTAGCAGCAGATAGGTTCAAATCTTGGTACAAAAAATAATGATACGTACTAAAAAATATATTTTAAAAGAGGGGAAGAAAAATATAATATATTTTAGATTTTTATTTATATCATAACGTGGTTGTGTGTCTAAGCTGTGGTAGTATTAGGAAAACACGAGTTTATCATTGCATTTTATTTATATTTTTTAAACATTTATACACTTGTAAGTACACGTAATAAATATTTATAGTTACTAATGCTTTTTTATTTCTGTAATATTAACAACTCAAGAAATGACAGGGGTTAAAAATTAGAATAAAACTACTCATTGGTATGTCGGTCCAATTCGTTTTCCTGATGATCCCTTTCACTTGTTCCGGGCTATATGGATTTTTTAGAAACGCTGGGAAATGATAAATTCTGGTACAAGTTTCATCTAGAAGATATTTGTGACAAAAAACCCTATGAGAGTACTACCCCTGTCTTTATAGTTTACCTTCTAGAACAGCCATACTCAACCTTTTTTTCCTTTGGGCCACATATGTATGATTGCTATGTTACACGGGCCGCAATATCTTTGGATGATGAGCCTTTATTTAGGCCATCCATTTTAAATTAGTGGGAACCTCTAATAAAACAAAACATAAATATATCCTGTCGGGTTACTGCGAAAACAAGATAACTCACATTTTTAGAGTTTCAAGAAAACGCTCTTCAAAAGTTTCAAATGAAATAAAAAATCAGTAAAATCATTGTTTATTGAACAAAAACTCCAACGAAAAAAAAAAACAAAAGTCTTTACAAATATAAACTAAGAATCCAAACGATTGGGAACAAAAAAGTCACTTAACTTATTTCAGCTGTCGACAGACTGCAATTTTCATGTAAACTCCTTCTCTATTCGATAGGTATCGTGTCGAGTTCGCACACAAGAATCCATGTGCACTGTGCAAGTCATAATATTCAATGTCTGTGTCACTAGCTTCTGTGGAAGGTTCAAGAAGTGTCTTTAACATTATTGGATACAGGTAGATTTTAATATTAATAGTGAAATTCATGATTTTTAAAGTTAAACTCTTTCTTCTCGGCATTATTAACATTATTTGGCACTTTTGTTATAAATATTTTCAGAGCTCTTTTCACCCTTTTGGGCATCCCTCTACCGGTATGGCTTGGGTTTTTTCAACTAATGTGAAAAGCTGGTGTTTCGGTGATTTAAGAAGTGCTTCTGGTCCTTTTAACATGCAAATAATATGGAGACGAGCGTCCAGCATCCCCGTTCGTTACGGCTTGATCAATCTCTCGTTACAACTTGACCAATCAATCATTCACCATGGCGATTCGGGCATCACGTGTTATCGTCCATTGATTTTTTAAGATTAGCTGTATCGTGGAAGGAAATGGTGACGTAATCACCCCAATAAACACAGTTTATCGGCATCCATAACTGGGTCGAAGGAGGCTTGCCGGATTCGGCCCGATATACGGGTGAGGCTTCGGCATATAGATATCCCAACAAACAATAAATTGCCGAGATATTGCTGGCCTTTTGCTGTAATTGAAGGGAAAATTAATGCGACGTTTAAAAGATAGAAGCCTACTTTTAGCCTTTCGATAGTGGCCCAGCATTGTTGCTTGATGATGGCCTTATGAAGGGTAAGTAACGGTATTGGATAAAAGCATGGTAAAAGTCAAAAGGTTTTTAACTGCCGCAGGCCCTACTCCAACAGTCCGTCCCCCGTTCATAGATGGAGACACCGATTAACCCTTATTACATACTCGACGAGTGGACATGTATACTATGCGGCCAGTCTCGCATTTCTGGTATTCAGTATTCACTAGTAATACCACTAGAGGTCAAATTATTTCCGGAAATTTTTTCGAGCTCATAAATTTTCTAAAAATATTCATGAGCGAGAAAAAATTTCCTGATATTAATTTGACCTCGCGTGGTATTCGGTAAGAAAATTCCACGCCGAATTATGGTTGAAAATTAAATATTTTTAAAATTTATTTTTCGTTTCTCAACAAATGCAAATTATTTTCTCCAAGTCACCAGTGAAACATAAAAGGTGTTGTCGCCTTGATTGTTGAGTTGTCATGGTAACTAAGTGAGACCCTAACCTCGAATATAATTTCAGTTTTGAAGTTGTCAAGCGGCCCGACGTAAAAAAATGTTTCGCTGCAATTATTTAGGCCTTCAAATTGCTTATTTCTACTCATTGTAGTTGCATGGGAATACCATTTGAAAATAGAAAATAGTATATTCTTTAATTTTACGTAAGTTTTGAATAACTACAAGTGGTAGAAAATTGTTTTTCTGCATTTTTATTAACATGCGTTATGAGCGCTTTAAAATGGTATGAAATTCATAACCAGCGTCAGCAAGCATCAATCGTAGGAGGCTGTGATCATTGTATTTTGACAGTTCAAAACATTAAATAACTCGCGTTTTGTTGCGATAAAGAATATTGCACAGCAAGTAAAACCAACAAAATTACCTATTTGTTTAAAAATGAATCGATTTGAAAATCATACGCTATGCAAAATATGCGTGAAATTGTCTGATGTAATGATATCAATCATTGCACCATGACTTACTTACTCGGATTAATAGAGGATTGTGGCTCCAACTTGAAAAACGAAAATTTGTTCCGAATTGTCCACGAATATTTGCACCTAAACTACGCAAAATTCAAAGTGCTGAATGGGAAAAAGGTGAATAAATTAGTGTCTAAATATTATATATATTTTATTAGACATAGACACATAATTCAAAGCATCCAAAGTCCTGCATTTTCGCCATTAAGAAGAAAAGAAGTGGCCGAAGAATATAGAAAACACCTTAGCATTGTAACTAAAATGTATCAAAACTAAACCTATTATGTGAACAAATAAAAACCAGTCTGTCAAAAATGGTCTGTTATTGTAAACGTCAAAAAATTTCCAGTATAATTCGCTGTTGGGTACCCCACGAGAAAAAAATTTCCACTAAAATACCTCCGTTGCCATGGTGATCTGTCAAAAACACGTATTTTGATTGGTTCAAAATTACAGGTGTGGAATTTTCATTGTAATTTCTTACTTTTACATGTTAATTTAGAATATTTTATGAATAATATTTTTGTAGAAGACATTTTTCTGTATTATATTATATAGCTGAATTAAAATGTCTACAATATTCTATATTGGAATGCCTTCTATTTTTGTAAAGAATTTATAGTTCAAATGATACTACTGTGGTCAAATAAGAGGCACTATCGATTCTCCTGTCTGTTCATGTGCCCGACACATGGCCTTTATTCAGCAGTCTGTATTAATCTGGTAAAATGCCAGGAATTCCCCGTTAACTTCCCATCAATGGGCCATTACTAGCCAATACATTTGTTTCTAGACATTAAAGGGAAAATGGAGGCCTATTAACTGGATTTAATGGCTAAGTGACTTCGGCCCGACTGTCGGCCGTAGTGACACATATGCCGGCCTTTTAGTTATAAAAGTTAAATGCTCAAAATATTTGTTGGGATGGCATATCCGCCCAGCCGAATGTCGACAGCCCACTGAATTGTAGCCGCGTTCATATATCTATATAGAATTCGGCCTGTAAGGATTCTTCCCATGCCCGGCTAGCCAAATATTAACCGCACTAGGCCCGTAAGGATGCTTAATATCTGGAACGCCAAATATGGACCATATGCGATTTCTACTTCAAAATTACGTCAAATGGTACGGTCCTCCCGGCTCAGAAGAAACGCCGACAACGGCAATCCGAGTACTTGGCTTCCCGAACATGTCGGTGTCTTGCCGATAATGCCTTCTTAATATAATAGTGTTTCGGGCCGCAAAGAAAAGCTTAAAGGTCCACATGCGGGCCGCAGGTTGAGTATAGCCCCAGTATAAAGAACAATACAGTAGCGACAGATTGCGTCGGCTTCTTTGATGTCGGGGTGGTCAGATTTTCAATGACAGTTGACGTTTTTGTCGCTTATTTCTACACGGAGAAAAGTAAACTCTAAAATTGCAAATTAGCGATGTACACTTAGAAAAAAATTAAAACATGTACATATAACATTTTAATGTATTCTAGGCAAATAAATTAATCAAAATATTGTGTAAATTAAATAAATGAGTTCCAGTGAAAATCTAGATGTGCCAATTTTAAAATTTTATCATTAGATTAAAATAAATTACTTTTGTATGCCATTCATTGTATGAAATGTGTTAAACATTTTTTGGTTTCTTCCTGGAACTAATAAATTAACTCTGCACCATATTTTTTTATTTAAAATGAGGTTATGTAGGTATCTTTTTAGAAGTGAAACAACATATAACAATAATATTTATTAAAACACACAATTAGTAAGTTTTTAATGAATTTACAATACAAGAATTATTTTATTTCAATTTTTGTTCCTACGTACAAATTTTTGACTTCAGATGAGTTTTAGCAAATGCCTGTTGTAAGTCACCCGTTAAGCACAATGCTGCCCAATTGCTTATATTACCTATGTATATAATTAAATACTATTAACGTCACATCATAAAAATTAGATGTTTATATTTAACGATTTTGGGGTCTATTCTGTAACAATTCCTTTATATTTAACGGCCTTTAAAAATATTGGCGGCCTTTAAAAGTATATTTGTTTTCGTTAATTTACTTCTATCATTATTTAAACAGATTTCTTTAAGATAGTCCTCTAATGTATTTTAAAGATCCGTTTAAATAGTGACCGAATTAAAGGAGAAAATATTTTTAAAGGCCGTTAAATATAAAGGAATTTTTACAGAATAGACCCCTTTATGGTTTAAAATTTGTATGGGAAAGGTTATCTGCTGCGGGATTTAAATATTTAATGGCTAGAAGAATCAACAGTGACTGTCTAGAAAAATTTGTTGGGTCCATTAGGCAACAGGGTGGGAATTTAATTAATCCAACACCTGTACAATTCGAAAGGGCATTTAAAAAACTTTTTTGTCAAAATTATCTTCATTGCAATTCCATGAATTGTAATGAAGACCTGGACAAACACTTGCTACAATTAGATGTAAAAAAT